AGTGTATTAAAATATTAAGTATCAATGGGCGCGGATCCCGAAAATTTTGAAATATCGAATTGATAGTAAGAATTTTATTGAAAATAGGCAAATTCTTTGGAAGAGTTGCCACCTGTTAAAAAAGTTGAATTAAATTAATACGCGGAAACGACTAAACGGATTTGCATGACATTTCGCACAGAGATAGCTTATGACCTATGTTGGAAAATAGGCTACTATTTTAAGAGTTATCACGTATTAGGAAAGTTTAATTAAATTAATACGCGGAAACGACTAAACGGATTTGCATGAAATTTTGCACACAGATAGCTTACGACCTAGGTTAGAAAAAAGGCTACTTTATAAGATTTGCCACCTGTTAGAAATGTTTAGTTTAATTAATGCGCGGAAATGAGTGAACTGATTTGCATTAAAGTTTGCACACAGATAGCTTATGACCTAGGTTAGAAAAAAGGCTACTTTATAAGATTTGCCACCTGTTAGAAATGTTTAGTTTAATTAATGCGCGGAAATGAGTGAACTGATTTGCATTAAAGTTTGCACACAGATAGCTTATGACCTAGGTTAGAAAAAAGGCTACTTTATAAGATTTGCCACCTGTTAGAAATGTTTAGTTTAATTAATGCGCGGAAATGAGTGAACTGATTTGCATTAAAGTTTGCACACAGATAGCTTATGACCTAGACTGGAAAAAAGGCTACTTTTTTAGGAATTGCCAACTGTTTGAAAATGAACTTTTGCTCAAAGATGGTTTATGACCTGGGTTGAAAAATAGGCTACTTCCTTAAGCGGTTTTCCGATCAGAACGAAATTTGTTACACTTACTACGGATTTCGGAAGGATGGTCTTAGACTGAAATTAAGTCCGATAACTCAAGGCCCCTCCCATACAAATTGGAATTTTCATATTACACACATATCTCTGGAAGTATTTGTGGGAGAGAACTGAAACTTGGTATAGTGATATGTATGTGAAATCAATGATGGCATTAATCGACTGATGTTTTAGTCAGTTAGTTAATTCGATTAAATTCAATCTGATTACAGTTAATCATGATTAATTTTAATCTGACTAAACAGTTAATCGTAACGCGATTAAAAATTTAATTTTTAATCATTAACTCTTAATTTGATCAAGTAGGTTTGGTGATTAATTAAGTTATGCTGGAATTTCCCTGTGCACACGAAGCAAGTTAACCCGGTATGGCTAAGTTGGGTTTCCTCATCCATCTAAGCAATTTGGTGTGCATTTTCATTAAGATATATACCAACAAACGTTTTACAAACTAGGTTTGTAAAAGTTCCCAGTTTATATATTACTAATAACAATAATTATAATTTTTTATATTATGTGCTTTTTATAAGCGTAAAACACAAAATAATTACTATAACTGGTGTTTGGTTTCAAACTCGGACAAACTAAAAAAATTAATCAGATTTTATTTTTAGTTGGATTAAAATTAATTTTTTAAATTAATTAAACGTAATCGCAGCCAGCGATTAACGAATAAAAAATGTTATCATTAATCGAACAGTTGATTACGACTAATTAATTTTAATCGTCAAACGCGATTAAAATTTTAATCGTTAATTTTAATTCGTTAATCAGATTAACAGTTTGCCAACACTGTGTGAAATCATGTTCATATTCACGGTGAAAAATGGACGTTTTTGGAAAATTGGCGTAGCACCTCCCATACTATCTGAAAGTTTCATATTGCAGATCTCTTCAAATGTTTGGGGTAAAGCACTCAAGCTTGGTATGGAAATACAAATGTATGTATGTTTGTATGTGAAACTAATACCATACTCATGGAGAAAAATGAGAGATATTGGAAAAGGTGGTGTGGCAACTCCATGCAAATTGATTTTTCTATGCTGCATATTTCTGGAGGTGTTTATTGCAGAGGACTGGAACTTGGCACCGAGATGTGTATACAAAATTAGTTCCATACTCATGGAGAAAAATTTGCGCTATTCGAAAAGGGGACATGGTTCCTCCCATACAAATTTACTCTTTTATACTGCTTATCTCTAGAGGTGTTCATGGTACAGTACTGGGACTTGGTGCTGGGGTATGTAAAATCAATTCTAAATTCATGGAAGAAGATTAGGGTTATAAGAAAAAGAGGCTTGGCACTTCCAGTACAAATTTACTTCTTCTTGCCGCATATCCCTGGAAGTGTTTGTGGAAGAATACTGGAAGTTGGTATGGAGTTGTGTATAGAAAATGTATCAATTGCTCATGGAAAAAATGTGAGTTATTAAAAAAGGAGGCATGTCGCCTCTCATACATACTAAAAACTTCTTAATATATAATAAGTATTTTAAATTTGTTATGGAGATTTATTTTATAAGTGCCGTACTGACAGAATAAATTTCATTAACTGGAAAAGGGAGAGCCGGCTTCGGCCTTATAATCTGAAGCTCTCTTGAGGCATTTGCTACAGTCATGAGAAATGGTATTTTATCAAGGCTAGTTTACTAAATTTGAGTTGGAAATATTAGAACCTGCCGTGGTACCTCCAAGAAGGTTACACGTTCACGCGTCGTATACATGGAACCATTTTGAGGTAAACTTGATATCTTTCGTATGCCTAGCGCGCAGACGAGATTTTATAATTTCATAGTTTTAAACGGCCTAAATAACTTAACTCGCTTAAAAAATAACGAGCTATAACGAAATGGCCACAGAAATAAAATCTAACATCATTAAATTATTTTTCATATTTGTATAAAAGCGCGGGGTGAAACCCGCTGGTATAAGCTGGTTATTTTTAACCTGATTAGTTTTTTTAGTTTGTCCGAGTTTGAAACCAAACACCAGTTATAGTAATTATTTTGTGTTTTACGCTTATAAAAATCACATAATACAAAAAAAATTAAAATTATTGTTATTAGTAATATATAAACTGGGAACCTTTACAAACATAGTTTGTAAAACGTTTGTTGGTATATATCTTAATGAAAATGCACACCAAATTGCTTAGATGGATGAGGAAACCCAACTTAGCCATACCGGATTAACTTTCTTTGTGTGCACAGGGAAATTCCAGCATAACTTAATTAATCACCAAACCTACTAGATCAAATTAAGAGTTAATGATTAAAAATTAATTTTTTAATCGCGTTACGATTAACTGTTTAGTCAGATTAAAATTAATCATGATTAACTGTAATCAGATTAAATTTAATAATTAATTAACTAACTGATTAAAAATCGATTAATGCCATCATTGATTTCACATACATATCACTATACCAAGTTTCAGTTCTCTCCCACAAATACTTCCAGAGATATGTGTTTAATATGAAAACACCAATTTGTATGGGAGGGGCCTTGAGTTATCGGACTTAATTTCAGTCTAAGTCCGTCCTTCCGAAATCCGTAGTAAGTGTACCAAATTTCGTTCTGATCGGAAAACCGCTTAAGGAAGTAGCCTATTTTGCAATCCAGGTCATAAACCATCTTTGAGCAAAATTTCATTTTCAAACAGGTGGAAATTCTTAAAAAAGTAGCATTTTTTCCAGTCTANTAATATGAAAATTCCAATTTGTATGGGAGGGGCCTTGAGTTATCGGACTTAATTTCAGTCTAAGTCCGNACTATACCAAGTTTCAGTTCTCTCCCACAAATACTTCCAGAGATATGTGTTTAATATGAAAACACCAATTTGTATGGGAGGGGCCTTGAGTTATCGGACTTAATTTCAGTCTAAGTCCGTCCTTCCGAAATCCGTAGTAAGTGTACCAAATTTCGTTCTGATCGGAAAACCGCTTAAGGAAGTAGCCTATTTTGCAATCCAGGTCATAAACCATCTTTGAGCAAAATTTCATTTTCAAACAGGTGG